CTGGCTGTTCAAAGTCACACTGACACACCACCCTTGCTATGATACCTGTGGGCAAGGGTTACTGCTTCAAAGTAATTGGTGCTGAGTGGGACGGCTCGGGGGATAGAGGCACTGGCTGCCGAGCCTGACGATGTGAGTTCGAGCCCTAGGACCCACATGGTGGAAGGAGAGACCCAACTCCTGCACGTTGTCCTCCGACCTCCTTGCTCGCAGTGACATCCTCCCTTGCACGAGCATACACATAAATAAATATAAATAAACAAGCAAAAGAAACCAAACCAAAACTAACTGAGGCCATCTTCTTCATTTTGCCTCTCAAACATCCCCTTGTCCCAACCTCCGAGAATCCAGTTTCCTAGAGAATGCATTTCCCACTGTGGGGCAGAGCTCTGCTGCTTACAGATGAATGCACTCATCTTTAGTAAATCTCTTTTCTATTGTGTAAGGCTAAAAAAGCAAATGGCAGAACAAAATGCATAATATGCTATCATTCATACCGAACAGTTATAATAACAGTAAGCTCCCGAGTACCTGGGCTGCCTTTGGAGGGCCCTGTAAAGACTTGCCTCCAGGCAGAGAAACAGGGCGGCTGGGTTCCAGAAGGGAAGAGGGTGTTATGTCTATGCCATGTTGGGTCTTGCCTGGATGAATGCATTTGTAGGTGCATATACACATGTGTACGCGTGCATGCATGTGTGTGCATGTGAGTAGGTAAGAGGTCAGCCTTGGCTGTTGCCTCACCTGCCTTCCACCTTGGCTTTTTGAGACGGGGTCTCTCACTGGCCGGGAGCTTCCTGACTAGGCCAGGCGGACTGGCCGACAAGCCCTGAGAAGTTCTGCCTCCACTTCCCCAGCACAGACGCTACATCACATACGGACATTCTACATGGCTGTTGGGGGCTGAACTAGGCTCACATGCGTGTGGAGCAGGAACTCTACTGACCGAGCCTTTGTTCCAGTCTGCAGGTCTCACTTTTTACCAGATACTTTTTATCCTTCTTGAATATTTTAGTATCACCCTGCAATGCCTACTTAACTACACATATGTTCAGACAACCCCCAAAACATTAGTGTGGGGCTGAACTTCTTCTTCTCTGAAGAGATGTAACCATCACTTGCAGGCAGGCGTGATGGAACCCCACCTACTTCAGCCTTTCAGAATCCTCTGCGCGCGGACAGCTACAGTTCTCTGTGGCTGCAGCACAGGAAGACAGAAAATCAAGCCGGGCTTTGGTTAGAGCCCTCCTGGGGCAAAGCTAAGGACTATTTATTTCCCACGTGAAGCCGGAGAGCCACAGACCGGCTGGCCAGCTCCGTGGCGAGAGGACCGTTCGAAACTTCCTCTTCTGACCACACTACCAGCCCCACAGCCTGCCAAGTTCTCCCTGCCCAGGCTCAAGGGCACACTGCCCTTGGCTTCCTTTCCTCCACGCTGCTGCAAAGCCCACGCCCAGGGCTGCGCCCCAGCTCTGTGGTGAGCACCTGCTCAGCATTCCTGTGGCCCTGGGTTTGACCCGCAGCATCCGGATACCACCATCCACCTCCATTCCAGAGGGCTCTGGACCAGCCGCCCACCCCTTCTTCCCCCAGAGTCCCCTCTGGGGGCTCCTCCCTCACTGTGGAAGGCCAGGCTTTGCTCCAATAAAAGACGACTTGGCCGCCATAGGTGGGAGTGGGCAGAATCGTGTCCATTCTGGAATCCCAGCAAGGCCCCGGAGGGGACAGAGACCGTAGGCCTGTTGCTCCGAGAGGTTCCGCGGGTCCACGGAGCACGGGAGCATGTGCTGCGGCCTTCCCGCCATCAGCGGACAGCTCAACGCCACCAGCCCCAGCTGCCCCCGTCACTTTCTTATCTGGGGTGTGCTGCTAACACGTACCCAGACTGATTAGACAGACGGCAGCCAGGGGCTGACTAAATGACATTCCTCAGCCCTTTAAACGCCTGGCAACTCTCCAGTTGGCTCTGAAAGTCTCCATCTACAGTTCTGTGCCCTTTCCCCTAACTAAGGGCACCGGGGGCGCTCTCTTTCCATATGCGGGTGACCTTTCCCCTAACGCACCGATAAAGGCCTCCAGCCCCTCTGGGGGTGGGTCACTGGGAGAACGCTCGGCAGTACACTTGCTCAGTGGTGTGCCGGGCCTCTTCAAGGGAGACCCGGCCGCTCTTTCACTTGAGGGTTCTGGCTGCAAACTGACTGAACAGCTGAACCCTAATCTCTTCTCCCCTCCCCCTGCACATGTGTGCTGATGGGTATGTGTGTTCATGGAGGTCAGAGGTCAGCCTTGGGTCGGTGGTCCTCAGGACAGCTGTCCACCTTGTTTTTCCAGACAGCATCTCTCACTGGTCTGGAGCTGGTTGTTTTGGCTAGTCTGGTCTTGCCAGCAAGCCCCAGGGATTCTCCCGTTTCTGCCTTCCCACGAGTGTATACCATCGTGTGCTTTTTAAAAGTCGGGGCTGGGGACTGAACCCGGGTCCTTATGCTTGCACAGTAGGTACTTTACCAGCTAAGCCGTCTCCCTAGTTGCGGGGCTGTTTTTATGATTTGAGTTACATTTGCTCATCTGAGCTTGAACTCCGACACCCAACACAGATCAAGTTCAAACTTGGATGACTCCTGTTTATTTCACTCCTCGAAACCACAGGATGAGCTTCCTAGCACTGGGGATTGTTTCAGGACTGCTCTGACGGCTGCTCTGACTCTGCTGTCCCTACAGCTCCCACGGACCAGCTGCCCAGGGACCTGTGGGCTGGGAAGCCTGTGCGAGCCCTTGGTGATTCGGGCTGGTCCTCATCCAATGGTGCCTGCGAGTCCCCCCACAGCTCCCCTCCTGGGAATTCTCCCAGGCTCCCCTTCTTTAAGGACCTTCTCCATGGTGACCCTGCATGAGCCTGAGTGTATGCCTGGGTCTCCGATTCCCACTTAGGTGCTGGGGTCTCAGGAAGGCCTTCTTGAAGGACAGTGTGACAGAGGGAGGTATGGGACCGCAAAGCAGGACAGCTGGACGTCTTCCTTACGCACCCGACTGTAGGGGTACTAGGGTCTCGTGACATCACTCAACATTTGCCCTCAGAACTTCCATTTGGAATGTCTGAGGTTAGGTACTTCACCATCGGTGGAGAGCGCTGGGATGTGGTGTCTCTAGCTGGATGAGCGTGCAGCACCTCTGGCCGAGGTCCAGCAGGGGGCGCTGAGTGGGTTTGGGGTGTGACATGGGTAATGCTTTCACTGCAAGGCCGTGAGATGGGTGCTCAGTGCCCGGTCCCAGGCTGTGAGGAAGGGGACAACTGCCGCTTCACACGTCACTCAGAGAGAGAGAGAGAGAGAGAGAGAGACAGACAGACAGACAGACAGACAGACAGACAGACAGACAGACAGACACTCATGCTTCCAGCAGGTGTGACAATAAATAGGACACACGGACACAGCTCAGACATCCTGTGACACACAACTGGATATGTAAAAGGGTCTCTGAATGGTGGAGTGTCACTCAGCCTTTCAAGGGCATCTGGAAGGTTCTACAGCATGGGGGAACCGGCCAAAGCCTGGGAAGGAACCCATCATATCCCAAGGAGACCTGGCACAGGATAGGGTTGTGCCACAGCTCCTAAGAACCCAAAAGGATGGAAAGAAAGACACTCTCAGTCTCACGCTGCGAGGTCCCCAGAGTTATTAGATTCACAGAGGCAGTAGACTGGAGGGCTCCCTGTGTGGTGGAAGCAGTCTGGAAGATGAATTCCGAGAGCAGAGAGGAAATGGGGCATGTCTCCATGATGCCCATGTGCTTAGTACTGTCAAGCCAGACACTTTCGGATGACGAAAATGACTGTTTAGCTTTGTCTGCTGGTCACAAAAAAGAGGTGAGAGGAGAAGGGAGAAGAGGGAGAGGATGCAGGAAAAGGAGGAGGAGGATGAAGGAGAAGAGGAGGAGGAAAGAGGAGACGAGGATGAAAGTGAGGGATAGAGAGAGGAGGAAAGGGAAGAGGAGGAGGAGGGAGGAGAGAAGAGAAAGAAGAAGAGAGAGAGAGGAAGAAGAGCTGGGGACAGGAGGAGGGAGGAAAAGAGACAAGGAGAAGAGGAGGGGTCCTGACAGTGGGGTTTTCCAGAAAGGCCCAAACCCAAGCCCCCAGCACCCCTTGGCTGGCCCTGGCCTGTGGCAGAGGACCACTGCTACCATTCAAGTCACCCACATTCCAAGCATAGTTCTCACGCTCATAGATGTCCCCTACTCTCCCAGCTCCATCTCAGAGGCAGGAGCTCAAGAAGCCCCGCTCACCACATCTTTCATCACCCTAAAAACCTTCCCCCAAGAACAAGGAAGGCCACAATGCACCCACTGTGTGCAGACAGGTGTTCAGGGGCCACGGACCCATTTCACTGAGGCTTTCTAGTGCAGGACACGCCATCAACCCCACACTCAGATCCGGTGCAGGAATGACAGCACAATTAGACCAGCAGGACAGACCACGCATCCCTCCTGTGCAGCCCCTTTCCAGACAGTTTTCAAGCATTTTGAAATGTTCTTGAACTTTGATGATTTGGACAATGCAAGCAAATCTATGAAGGGGCATTTGCATGTGCTGTCACGGAGAGGGGCTGGTCCTTGGGTGGCAAGCTGTCTTCCCACGGGACCTCAGAGGATGAGCCCGGCACTCCCTCTCCAGTGGGATGGGTGGCCCTTCAGGTATCTCAAGGCTCTCCTTCCCTAGGCTCCCTCCAGCATTCCCAAACCTTTCAGTATTTCATATGCCAGGACTAGGAGCTCTCATGATATCCTGCAAACTACATCCCTGCCCTCAGAAAATATTTACAACCTACAGATGAATTAAGATTGAAAAAACGGAACAAGTCAGGCATGGGGTACCCACCTGCGACCCCAGCACTCAGGAGACAGGTGTGAGGTGAAGGCTAACCTGGGGTACACAAGGAGACTGTCTAGAAAACAAAACAACGCCCCCCAACACAGAAAAGAGAAAAGGCTGCAGACATCCCGACCTAGGATACACTGTTCTTCACTATTCAGAGCTTGGGTCCAGAGCAGAAAGAGGACAGCCGAGGCTTGATGCATGGGCGAGAGCCAAACCACAGCAGCTCGGAGGACGCTCCAGGTGCGGCCCCTCCCTCCTGGTCTTCCTACTCCTGGGTGGGTGCCTGCAGAGACCCCAGAAGCTGCATCACGGCCCCTTCAAGCTGGTCTGGGTCCTGGTAACTGGATAGAGCGGGTCCTGCCCCACTCTCATTTCCCTTCATTTTTCTATATTAGGGATGAGGTGATCTATTTTTAGCGTGTGGCTGGTTAAGTCAGGGTTGCTATAGTGACGGCGAGTGGCTACAAACCCAGAGCTGCTCAGAGTCCCAGTTGCAGAGAAATCCCAACACAGAGTCCTGACAGGAATGCAATCTCGGAGGATGGAGTGGCCCTGCCCATGGGGGGACCCTGCCCACTGTCTACATGCCATGGGAAGGCTGAGCCTGAGTCTCGCTAGCAGGAAGTGAATCCGGACTGGGGACTGAGAGAAGAACCAGAGAGCTGGTTGGAGATGGAATGCCAAGGCTCAGTCACAGGTGAGGAGACATTCCCACGTTTGCGCCGACCTTAGACAAGAGGCAGGGGGGGCTGGTGTGCACGGCCGGGAAGCCTGGTGTAGCAGGCAGGGGACCTATGCAGGGCCAGCCAGTGAGGCAAATGGCATGTGCTGAGGTACTGCATTATTCTGTTGGTTTGCTGAATCGGGGTCTCCTATAGTCCAGGCTAGCCCAAACTCACTATGTAGCCAAGGATGACCTTGAACTCCTGATCTTTTTGCTCCCACATCTCAGGTGCTGGGGTTACAGGCAAGAGCAATCATAATTATACAGTGCTGGGAATGGACTCCAAGGCTGTGTGCATGATTTTTATCTACCTGCTGACTAGTTCCCATTGCCCACCTTCCAGGGCTGCCTCCGAGTGCACCCACCACCCGGGACCCCAGACTAAGCCCAGCAGGTTCACAAATGATCAGGATGAATGTGAGAATGAACCCGAAAACTGCTTGTATCCATCCATAGAAGGATGGGTGCATAATCTGTGTTCCATGCAGACTGTGGCCTGCCCGATGACAGTGAAGCCAAACTCCAGGAGACACAGCTGTAGTCACAAGGTGTAAGGAAAAGAAGCCGGAGAACGAGCGGCTGGCTATAGAGGCAGCGTGTTTTAAAAAATGTAGGTTTTATGATGACTCAGGTGTAGTCAGGCTAGTGATGAGGAGGCAGCTTCCGTTGGAAAGACAGTGTTCCAGTCCCCAAGAGGAGGGGGTGAGGGGGTGTGTCATAGCCACGGAGGAGCACAAAAGGGAGTATCAGGCCTGGTCTGGAAGCAGAGGAGAAAAGAGAGTAGGCGGAGTCTTGACTCTTGTTTCCAAGGAGAAGAAAGGTAAGGCAGGTTGAGCAGACAAAGACTGGCTTCTGTGGATGTCTCAGTGGGCCTCAGGGGTCTCGGGGTGGTCGGTCTGGCTGTCCGTCCCTGGTCTCCAGTCATTGGGCCCTATGGAGCAGGTGTACAGAGCCAGGGCTCCAATTGGTTACCGGGTATAAAAAAGGGTGGTGGGCTCCTGGGCAACCTTTGGTAAGAACTGGATAACTCTTGGAGGGGAGCAGGATCCCTCAGAGAGGCCCATATGTAAGACCATCAAAAAGGGTGGGAACGGGCCCTAGCTCCAACATCACAAAGAATAAACACAAGACCCAGCATTAGCCTCAACATAAGAGGCCCCGCCCACTGCTCTGTTGTTTCCAAGGCTTCCCATCCCCATGGCACAGGGAGGCTCCTTCCTGAGAAAGCAGATGGGAGGGAGTTGATCCTGCCTCCAGGTAGGGGGAGACGCTAGAGCAGCAGTTCTCAACCTGTGGGTCGCGACCCTTTCACAGCAGTCGCCTAAGACCACCAGAAAACACAGATGTTTACATTAGGATTCATAACTAGCGAAATTACAGTTGTGAAGTAGCAACACAAATGATTTTACGGTTGGGCTCACCACAACACGAAGAACTAACTATATTAAACGGTCTGCAGTGTTAGGAAGGTTGAGGAAAACTTCGCTCAAGGAAGGGGTCTCAGGTCCCCAAGTCCAGGTTCTTTGGGGCCTCACACACAGCTCAGTTGTGGTTTGCTTCTCTGGGTGTTTCTCAGCCAGGATGAAGCTCAGCTTTCTCTAAATGTCACCATCTGTTCCATACTAAAAATCAAGGTCAGGGCTGTGGAATTCTCAGGTCCTCCTCCACCACTCCAGGCCACGCAGCATCCTGTCTGAGTGTGTGAGATGAGGGCAGAGCGTCATTTTCTTCCATCCAGTCTTAGGGCTGCTTTCTCCACTGATCAAGTCTACATTCTAAAAGGGCCCTCACTGCCTGTGAAGCCAGACATTTTCTTACACTTTTACTCTGTTTTGGCAGGTGCCTAAATGTCTGTCTGTCTGTCCATCTATCTATCTATCTGTGGTGGTTTGAATAAGAGCGGCCCCCACAGGCTCACATATTTGACTGCGTAGTCATCAGGGAGTGGCACTACTCAGAAGGATTAGGAGGCGTGGCCTTGTGGTGGAAGGAAGTGTGTCACTAGGGGTGGGGCTTAGAGGATTCAGCAGCCCAAGCCAGGTCCAGTGGCTCTCTCATCCTGCTGCCTATGGATTCTGAGGTCTCAAACGCCCACACCATTCCCCGTTAGTATGTTCCTCCATCCCCCTCCCCCACATGGTGCTTGTGGACAAGCTGTAAGTTCTAAGCTGCTTTTCCAGAACCACGCCTGCCTGCCGCCATGCTCCCCGCCACGGTGGTCATGGACTCACCCTCTGAAACTGTAAGCAGGCCCCCAATTAAACGTTGTATTTTATAAACTGCCTTGGCCATGATGTCTCTTCACAGCAATAGAAAAGTAACTAAGACACATCCATCCTCTATCTATCTCCATCCATCCTGTCTGTCGGTCTGTCTGCCTGGCTGGCTGGCTGCCCGCCTACTATATTTATCTATCCACACATTTCACTACTGTGCTGGTTAGCTGTTATTTTTGTCAACACGAGCCAGAGTCATTTGGGAAGATGAACTTCAATTGAGAACAATGTCTCCATCATACTGGCCTGCGGTCAAGTCTCCAGGGCATTTGCTTGATTAGTGATCAAAGTGGGAGGGCCAGGCCCACTGTGGGTGGTGCCACCCCTGGGTGGGGGTCCTGAGTTGTCTAAGAAAGCAGGCTGAGCAAGCCAAGGTGAGCAAGCCAGTGAGCAGCGTCCCTCCCTGGCCTCCGCTTCAGTGCCTGCCTCAAGTCTCCTGCTCTGCGTTCCCTCAGGGATGAACTGTGATCAGGACATGTAAGTCAAATAAAACCTTTCCTACCGGAAGCTGCTTTCGTCACAGTAATAGAAATCAAAGTAGGACAGCTATCCATGTCTGTCTGTCTGTCTATCTATCATACATTCACCTATAAATCTAATATCTACTCACAGGTATATACAATAAGATATTGGGCAACAGATATTCATCCGGGGAAGCACGTACTTGTTTGTTTTATTCTGAGGCTTCTGAGAGTTTCTCAAAGGCCCATGATGGACCTCTCCTCACTGAAATTGTTTCTGCCAGCCTCTCTCATGGTACAAGCAGAGAGAAGAGCACAAAACTCCAGCCCAAGGGAGTGGCACCTCTGGATTCCACAGTCAAGGGGTATGGTATAGCGTGGGCAAACCGAAGCTTCCTGGGAAGCGTGGATTAATGTTCCCTAAAGAGCCTGGCTTTGGGTAAGACCTTCTGGATGGCTTGTCAATTTGCTGAGCGGGGGCATCACAGCCTTATGGAGAGATGAGATGTGGACCAAGAGACCAAGGTTCGCTGCACGTGGTGGCAAACACCTGTGATCCGGGCCCATCTGAGACGGGAAGATAGTGAACTGGATAGTGAGACGCTATTTAAAAGCAAACAGTGAAAAGGCCACAACGCAGCCATGAATTATCAGCCTTTGCCTCTGACCTGGAATTTTGTGACTACTGGATAAGACCCTAACATGGATGCTAGGCTTCTGGACCTCTCACCCCTCCCAACTTCAAGGCTGCGAATGAGCGGGCACCTGCTTCTGCATAAAATGTTTCCACCCAGATGAAGACTCCATCAAGATCCGGGAGGAGAGATTCCTCGCCTCTCTGCAGCCCACTTCCTGGATGGCCCTGCCACCTCTCTTTTGGGACTGTATAAGCCCCAGTCCTTTCTCTGTAGGAGGACACGATCTTTGGGGACCCATGCCATTCTGAGTAACCTGTGTCTGTGTTCCAAACCATGATGCCTGGTGCTTGGGCTCAGAATGAACTGTTTTCGTATTTCACAATTGCTACTTCCTTTTTTATGCTGACAGAAAGAACTAGATGTGATATGAGTTATTTCCAGGAAAGTCTGGGGAGGTGGACTTCTGCTCAGCCTTGTTAGCATTTTCTTTCACTTGGGAAATCAGCCTTTGTTGGTTTGTGTTATCTCTTCCTGTGCATAGTTGGGGCCCTCAAGCACCGTAGGCCCCAACTCACCAAAGCTTCCTTGTGAACTCATCTGAGGCCCTTCCCTTGCTTCCTGCTACAGCAGGGCTCTCAGACCTGGGCCCTCAGCCTTAGCCTGTCTACCCACTACTTATCCTGATGGCTCCAGTCTCCATTACCCCTGGGAAGCCACCTCCATACCCAGCCACACAAGACTGAGATCTTTGGGGAGGCAATGCTCCCCTGGGGCTAGGGCTGCACCCAGACCTTGCATAAGAAATCTTAGGGACCAGGCAGTGGTGGCGCACGCCTTTAATCCCAGCACTCAGGAGGCAGAGCCAGGTGGATCTCTAAGAGATAGAGGCCAGCCTGGGCTACAGAGTGAGTTCCAAGAAAGTCGCAAAGCTACACAGAGAAACCCTGTCTCAAAAAACCCCCTTCCTCCCCCCGCACGCCAAAAAAAAAAAAAAAAATTTAGGAGAAAGCAGCAGTGCCCACTGAGGCGTAGGGCCAAGGATACAGGGTGGTGTGAGAAACCACCTATGCCTCAGAGAACACTCAGTGTTGATTTGTTCTTCAGAGTGTTCAGAATTCACATGTTTTCCCTTCTCAATTCCTGGAGCACAAATCACAACAGAAGGATGGATTCTGCTTGCTTGCTCTCTGTGGGACCTGAGCTCTTCTTGTGTTTTCTAAGGCACTGGGCGCTGGGTGATCATATCACCTTGGATGCCATGGCTCTTTGTTGGCCAAGTTCAAAGGTTGTGGTGACAGGATCAGAGATTGACTGGCCCAAGCCAGGTGTTAACCCAAGCTCTAGGCTATGGAACCCTGAAAGGCATCTCCCGATGCCTACCCCATTCTTTTGTTCCTTCTTGGTTCTGTAGGCTTGTTCTAGTATCTTCTATCTACTATCTTCTGATACTTTGCAATGTTTCTGGGCCCAGCATCATCTGCCCACTACTGAACATTTGCTCAGACCCTGGCTCTCTAGAAGAGCTACCCCCCCCCAAACACACTGCTCCTGGGAGCCCCAAGTCCCCCAGCTTTGGCTGCAGTTCCTCCCCTCAGCACCTCAGCCATCTTCTCTGGACACTCAGGGGCGTCACCTCACACAGGTACAAGCCAGAGTCCTGCTCGTGGCCCACAGAATGGCGGGTAAGCACTCAGCTTTCTTCCCTCTGTCCTGCTGCACTGGCCTCCAGGTGGTCCTAGGAACCTAGAGTCAGACCCCTCCACAGCCTGAATCCTCCTGCCAGGCAGAAGGGTTTGATCACAAGCTGGCTCCCCACTGTGGCCACGCCCAGTGAGCCTACCCTTCCTTCACCTGCCTTTTAAACCTCACTGCCCCCTTATCCTACAACAAAAACCCATTCATCTGTCAAAACACGTCACTCACGAAGGGACAAATACCATGGTTCCAGTTTTGTGTGTGGTGAGGGAGGGCAAAGGCCAAGGCTGGGTATCTTCCTCTGTCATTCCCCACCTTAGTTTTGGGGGAGTTCACGGATTTGGCTAGACTGCACCCCGAGGATCTGCCTGTCCCCAGCCCCAGCCCACCTTGGTGTTGGCGTACCAGTTTACACCACGCTTAGCTTTTTCACGGGTACTAGGGATCTGAATACGAGTTCTCAAGCTTGCACTCCAAGTGCTTTATCCACTGGGCCACCTTCCCATGATGCTACTGCTAGGAGCAGCTCCGAGCTGTCAGATTGAAAAGGGCAGTGAGTAAACTGAGGGCGGCCGGGGCCTGGGGGGCGGAAAGAGTTTAACGGTGCAGAATTCCGGTGAACGGTGAGGAGCTCGGGATGGACGGAGTGGCTGCGGCAGAACAGTGTGAACACCTTTAATGTGACCGAGTCACACAGTGCCGTGTGGTCGGCAGCAAAGCTGTGCTGTGTACAGTTTGCCACCATGACACAAAGACCCTCACTGTCTGCTCTCGTGGGGCTGTAAGTCCCATACAGGAGTGGCTTTTGCATGTCCCTGTGTCCTCAGAGTGAGGGGCCGGCACAAAGTGGATCCAGTGGAACTGGTAGGCTATGGGCGGTGGCTGGGCCTGGAAGTGGGTACCACTCTATTCTCCTGTGCGTGACTGAAAATCCCTACTACGAAAAGTTAAAAACTCTGTTGGGGTATTTACAGCAGATTCACTCAGGACACTCAGGGCCAGCAGGCACGTGTGTGCATGCGTGTGTAGGGGAGAGCACCTGACAGGGAAGCAGAAGGATGCGGGTGGAAATGAGGCTGCGTGTCACTGTCCCTCCTAATCTCCCTTCCGTCGCTGCTGTCATCCACACACGCTCTTTGTTGACACGATCTGGATCTCTCTCTACTGCACAGACAAAAGGAAGGTGCACATGGAGATTTTTGTCTAGCACGCACAGCACGAAACTCTGTGTGGGTGGGAGTTTCGAATTCGTGCAGCTCCGGCCACAGTCGGTGTTCAGTTGGGCCCGGCGCCCCACGGCCCAGCACGGTCCAAGGGGATTCCATCATTGGCTCGGGTGGCCAGCTCTCCAGTGACAGCCTCATGCCAATGGTTCTGTGACAGGGGCGGACCTGAGCCCTCTGCTGATCCTTTTCAGTTGTTCTGGAAAGCCACGGGGCTCTCAGGACAGCTGTGTGGAGGTGAGTGACTGTGCACACGTGCATGGGTGCACGTGTGAGAGTGGAGTGTGCCGCTAAGTCTGTGAACCGACATACATGTGTGTGTGTGCGTGTGTGTGAGGCAAAGGCATGCCATCTGACTGGAGAACAGCAGGGAAGACACTGGATGAAGTGGAGTCCATCTATCTTGTCTGTCCCCACAGGGAGCAGCTCTGGGTGTTAGGATTAACAGTCTCTGTGGAAGATGACTGTGCTGCAGAGTTTTATGTCAACTGGACACAAGCTATAAAGTCATTTGAGAGGAGGGACCCTCAGTTAAGAAAACACTCCCATTTGCAAGCCTGTAGGGCATTTTCTTAGTGACTGATGGGTGGTACCATCCCTGGGCTGGTGGTTCTGGGTTCTGTAAGAACCACCACGGGAAAGCAAGACAGTTAGCAGCATGCCTCTGCATCAGCTCTTGACTCCAGGTTCCTGCCCTGGCTTCCTTCAATGATGGACATACACTAAACCCTTTCCTCTCCCACTTGCTTTTTGGTCATGGTGTTTCATCACAGCAACAGAAACCCTAACTAAGACAACTGCCCAGCTGCAGAGGGGAGTTAAGGGGCAGAAGAGGCAGGTGCTGACCACCTAAGGGGACCCAGAGAGTAAGTAACAGGAAGGCACCTCAAACTCCCATAGAAGAAAAGGCTTGTGTAAAATTCCCCATGGAGGAAAGGACATAAAATCTACCCCAAAAGCGGCACTTTTTAGACAGCCAGAGTGACCCCACTGAAAAGGGGTGCTCTGAAGCTATCATTTTTTAAGCAGAGCAGGGCAGGGCTGGAGATCACAGTTTGAGCTGTGGGGGGCACATTTCCTCAGAGACCAGGAAATCCTGGGTGGAGACCTGAATGGTCTCCCCGAGTGGGCTGGGTAGGTAAAGCAGAGTTGGGAGGAAGCTTCCTCCACAGTGCATGGCCTTTTCCTTCCATTCAGTGGGTCCAGGCCCGACATTATGAAGGAGCTGCCCAGTTCTTTGCTCAGAATGATGTTAACTAAAGGGAAAACCTAGAGCCCAGAGCCCTGGCTCCTGACAGCCGCCTGAGCAGGGCTGCAGGCCAGCACTTGTGCCCCAAGCTCCAGAGGGAGGCTCTGAGAGCCCCCATGTCCCTGACCCCGAGGGCAGAGGCAGCCTTTGCAGGCAAGCTCTTATGATACGTGGTGGAGATGAAAATATTATTTCTGATCTCGGTAGCTTAGGAGATGGGATGGCAGCCAGCTCTCACACACCAGGGCAGAAACCACTGTCTGGCACACACCAGGCGTTTAATAACAGGTCTGCATGCCTATCCCCATTCGCAAAACTAGGCTTTTCGTTCAATAACAGGGTCAGATTTAACTCTTTGGTAAATGAGCATTTACTTCTTTGTTATCTAAAATGAATCACTGACTCTCTGGCTCGGATAGTCCTTCCTTCCTTCCTTCCTTCCCTGCTGGGACAGGTGCCCCATCCCTCTGTAAATTCACCCTGGCACTCAATGGGATTCTACTTTGTGGTTCCTTTTTTTTTTTTCCTCTCTCTCTTTCATGAGACCAAAAACTCATTGACTCCAAGAATCCCCATGCCCATGCTGGCCCTCCTCAGAGCACTGGGGCTCTCTAGAGCACTGATGCATCAGATGTAAATATATATCTTATATTTACTGCTCAGATGTCAAAAATCATACTATTATACCCATGACAAATTTTTACCAATTGAAATGTCACATTCTACACTTTTTTTTTTTTTTTTGGAGACAAGGTCTCAAGTAGCCCAAGCTGGCCTTGAACTTGATTTGTAGCCAAGGATGACCTTGAACTTCTGATCCTCCTGCCTCCAGTTCCCAAGTGCTGAGATTATAGGTGTGTGTCACCATGCCCAGTGTTATTCAGTGCTGGGGATAAACCCAGGGCTTCACACATGCCTACAAGCACTCTGTCAATTGAGTCACAATTCCAGTCCCAGTCTCAGATTCTTAAAACATGACAGCTACCATCCGAGGTTGACTGGTCAGATATCATCCAGGTTTCTAGGAAGTAAAGAAACTTGGCCCCCACCTGTATAGCTCCATAGAGCACACAAGCTTCTCACAGCAGGTCCAGGAAATGAACCATAGATATGTGGCCAGCCTGCCCAGCCGTGCGGATCTCGACCCCTTGAACCTCAGGTAGCAGGTTCCGGAAGCAGTTCCTCCCCAAGGGACACACAACAGGCAGGTGTTTTCCCTCCCAAGTTACCCTCAATCAAGGGACCAAGGAGATGGAGTTCCTTCCTCCTGACAGACGGGTTTCTACACACCACACACACACAC